CACTCGTATACATTACCATATATTCAATTCATATGCGTTTATAAATAATGTCCAACACTTCCGTCACTTCTTATACTTCTGTATAAATAAACGGCAAATACAAAGATTTTCATTCAATTTATTCAACAGATCTTTATTTGTAAAGTCCAGGAAAAATGCCATGAATTCAATTATATGCTATAATTACATATCATTTTAGTTAACATAATATAAATATTAGATTTTTATAACATGTACAAACACTACTAATTATAATATTTCATATTAATAGATATTAAGTAAGATTATGTGTGAATCCATTTGACATCGTATCATGTTGCAATTATATCATGCAATCACATTTTAACAAATTAGCATATTTTAATATAAATGTATATGGTTATTACAAGTATGAATGATTTTAATTAAAGATTTAAATATAAGCTTGATTAGTTTTGATTTTTATGCACAAATTGCATGTACGATAAAGTGATCGTCACTTATTTATTTTATATACATTTATTTATGACATAAATTTTATGTATATTTTATATTTATATAACAAAATATTTATTAATACAATGTATAATATTAGTAGTGTTGAAAAGAGTGGTCTTGTCTTAGTTTGTTTCGAAATACTTAAACTAATGCCACATTTTCTCAATACCCAGTTGTGAACATTACTTATATTGAGCTAAATTATAATGTATTTTATCAGTATTGACCTCTTTATATAAACCGATGATTTATTTTCACACACAATAAGATCCGCATTTTTGGCCATCAATTGCAAATAGTGTACACTTTATTGCAAATAATTGATTTAATTATCTTTATTTTAACAAATGCTTTGAATTTATTATGCAATGAAAGTATGAATTGATTTTTAACTAAAATCTTATTTATATTTGTTTTAATAGATTATAATTATATACATGTTTGGATAAAATATTATACCTGTCTAAAGTAACATTATACTGCATGCAGTGTATAATTCAATGTGTATCTGTGGTTAACCAGTTTTAAACTAATCAATCGTTTTAGTTTTCTTGACATAATATATTTAATTTTCATTTCTCTTATACATTAATGCAGTACTTTGTGTATAATGTAGTTATAATGTGAAAATGTCAATTAACTACTTTTAGTTTTTAAATTAATATTATTTACAAAAAGCAAAATTTTAATTCACAAAAAGTTCAAAACTATTTATTCTCTGTATAATTAGACTCAAATACAGTAATAAATACTGTAATAAATAGTTATAATAATAATAATTTTGTATAATAGGAAATTTTCTCTCAAAACCCGATTTGTAATTGGCGTTAAATTTTCAGTCATTTCTCGTATACAATGTTTATTATAATAATTACAATTTTATACAACACTTGTCTTTCTTTCTCATACTTCCTATTCCGACAAATATTGTGCGAAATATAAAATATATTGTTTGGTAACAAATGCTTGACTAAAATGCTATTCAAATCTTAATTACCAGTGTTTTGGTCACTAAACAAAACGCTTTTATAATGATTTGAATTGAAGAGGAAATTAAATATATTGAGTAAATAATTATATTCATAATAATAATTATACATTTGATGCATGCATTAAATTCTAGTCATTATTACATTAGAATTTATGATTACAATTGGTTTTAATAGCTGTCATATTAGTGCCAAATGATTGATGACCTGAAATATAGACAATAATTACCAATGTTTGTGGCTATCAATTGTGTTATAAAATAATTAAAAACTTCATTAAAATGCAAAATTTCTGTCAAACTAGACGTTTAATGACTTAAACTATAACAACTATAACAGGCATTACTTTTATTAGAGAAGTCATACTTTGAATATAAATTAAATAATAGCATAATATTATAGGAGATAAATAAGACTCACAATTGGGTCGACGACTAATTGCCCGGAATCTGCACCGAAGTATACCCTGAAATGCGTGTCTGAAGTTTTGATTAAATCCGCCGTAAATAATGGGATTTATAGCTGAAGATCCATAGGCTATGAAGTGAGACACGTATGACAGCCATGAAAACCATTGAGGAAGCTGTCAATCATACGATACATGAATTTTTCAATTAAAATCGCTATTATCTATAAAATATGTGATAACAAGACATACCTCTCCCGAGTCGTGGGATGAATGACCAAATTGAGAGTAGAGGACAATTATCTGGAGAGGCATCCAGGATATGACAAACACTAACAGCACCAGACATACCATCTTCACTGCCTATCATAAGTCGATCAATGCCAGTAAATGCCAGTAACATAACAAGTAATCAGTTAAATGTGTAGACAAATAATGGTTAATACAATTGGTTTTACTCTTTGTTTGGACGCTATTTGTCTCATATGCTGAGCGCTCTTTGGGAGACACTCTCCGGGGATGACACGAGTCCAGAGCTTTTTGATGATAAATGAATAGGCAGTTACCATAACGAGCACCGGTATGAAGAACAGTGCGATCGTAACCATCGAGTAATACAATTGTTTATATGTATTACTGGTAACACATTGTTTCCTACGGGAGTGCCAGAAGCGGGGCGTCGGCCACGTCTCGATGCATCGGCTTTCCGTAAAATCGTGCCACTAATCCATCAATACATCAATTTATGCCATCATATCATATATACAAATATTTTCAATTTCTTACAATTTGTTAGTAGGTTATACACATTGTAAAGTCAGCCTAATTGAGCTTATTTAAACTTAATTAATCAAATGTTTAAAAAACAAAATTTCATTCAAATAAATACAATATTTCATAATACTTATACTATTTAAAATTATTAATTTATATCGTAATTAAAATGTGTGTCTATTTATTTATAACATAACATATTGTCAGTCAATAATTATAGACGATAATGAAAACTAAACTTTTCATCTATGAAACTGGGTATCAAACAGAATATTCTGTATCTTTCAATGCATGCAATTATATTAAGTGCAGTTTTAATAAACAAATACTTCAATTATATGGTGTCTTCGATAGAGGAAGAATGGTATGGATATAATCATAGATATGAACCAAATGATGACAATTATAAGAGCGGTTCTTTGTTTGGTATATCGCGCTCTCAATGGATAGAGAATCGCTACAAACCGATCGCAAGCGATGGCTGACAGTGTGAGCACCGATGATGTGAGACATGTCACTGAAAGTGGTAAGAGTTGAGGTATAAGTATTTTAATTGTCCATATATTGAGTGGAAGACACTTTTTACAAGAGTTTTGTGATGAAAGGATTTGAGGGCTTAATAACTGTCGGACTTAAGGGTTGGGAATTGAATTAAGTGGCAGAGAAGTGGGCATTGAATACATTAACTCAATTGAATAATAAACACAACTTTTAAAACATTGATGTCTTTATTGACGTCAATTCATTTTAAGGCAATCTTCGAGTAAATTATATATAAAGTTAGAAATATATGAAATATTAATAATTTTTGCAATCATTTCAATTAATTTAAAGTTATTAACAGGACTTCTGATATATATCAATAATTTATCATTTTATGTTAATTTTTATAAAATATTTATGAAAATCTATCAATTGTTTAATATATATTGCATAAATTAATTTTTTTTATATTTTAAATTAATATTATACTGTATTAACTGTTATACAGTATACTATATATTTATACAAAGTGATTATTTGATAATATGGTATCAAATAAATACTTTGTCAATCATTGATTTAATTAATACACTTTAGCAAACTTTTCAAAGTCAATATTCAAGTACAGTATACATACAGTATATTCTGAGGCATTAAATAAATTATAAATTACTTTATAACAACCAAAATATTGTACACAATTACTATTTATTTAATAAATCTATTAAATTATAAAAGATATTTGTAAGTTTGATATATTATTATTATTATTACATGATATAATATGGTATTATTATTATTATTATAAGATACCGTAAAAGAGATTATTTTTGATAAATAAATCTTTTGACATCTTTTTCTATAGAGAACTTTAAAAGTCATTTTGAATTAAAAAGTTTATTCAAAAACATTTTTTGAACGCTCTTTGCATTTATAAAAGGATGAGGATTACGATAGAGACAGAGACTGAGTGCACATAAAGATGGTTATAATAAAAGCATCAAATTTTTATTTTCTACTTCTTTATTGTCTCTAAAGGCAAAGATTAAAGTTTCATAGGATTTCACAAAACTTAATATTATGTATAATAATAACAATGAAGTAAATCAATGGTAGAACTTAATAGTGAAGAATATTAGAGTGATTTAAAATTTATTAACTATACCTATAGAATGATATTAATAATTTATATACAACATACTGTATTTATAAGTATTTTTACTCTACTATTTACTATAAATAGCAACAAATTCCATGATATTTTAGCTTAATATTTAAAATTGAAATTTTAATAAATTGCACAACAAACTTAAGTATTGATATATTTCTAAACTTTTGATATATTATAAAAGTTTGAGTAAATAGCTCATGATTTTTATTATAATGCCATCATATGATACGTTATACCTAAATAAAATATTTTAATTTTATACTTAAAATACTAATAATTTTGATTTATTACATATAAACATATTTAACCCAGATTAACAATAAATTTATCAACGCCAAATAAAAAAGAGGTTGTTACATCTTTTTATGAATAAAGCATAATACCATATAACATACATTTTAGCTTTTATTCAATACAATCACATCTATTATACAATAAGTTTAAATTGAGAGTAAGATTACATATACAGTACATTAAGCACATAATGTACAGTACATTACATTATGGACATTAGTAATATAGAAATAAATATAAAAATGTTTTTTATAATTTAGGTCTTACTTTGAATGAAAGCATTGAATTTACACATAAATGGTCCCAAAGTATAGAATGGTTTAGTCGTGATTTCAATTTGATTGACCCAAAGACAGAATCCGCAGATGAGAAGCGAAGAAACGGCCAAATTTGTCAAATAGTAATTAATTGTTGTCCGCAAGTGTTGGCACATAAGCACAGCCAGGATTACGGCTCCGTTGCCCACAAGTATAGCCGCTATAATGAGCGCACAAACCAATATCTGAACGATTATTTTGATAGATATGGCATTTGAAATGAGTTCAGGTCTGGGATATTGTAATTTATGAAATTCAATGATGGATATATCCAAATCATTGGCGCAATCGGATTCATTGCTGAAAATTGTACTCATATTAAATATATAATCATAATCAACAAATTGAGTTTGATATGAAGTGTTACTTAATGTATTCATTGTCTACAATGTATTCAAATAAATGGTTAATTATGTTTAGGCAATAACACAACATATCTCTCACACAATCTATCTCTCCATTCGCTGCCAATATATAGATATCAACATTAATTGCATCGAAACTCTTGTGACGAGTGGTTTGACAGTATGTTTATAGCAAACCATTTGTGTGCTCTTCCTATCGCAACATCACATCTCTCTTATTGATACAAAAGGATGCTTTCAATGCCTAACCGTTTCCTTAGCAGCCAAAGGCAACATCCAATATAGGCTTTGATTGATTTCCACTTTAACTGAATTTCAAATACCGAATAAACAGTTATATCTTTTTCTCCCGAAAAAGATATTTAAATAATTTTCAAATCAAAATGTATTTTAAATAAATAGTTTTATTACTTTTTTTGTGCATAAAGTTAGCAAAATATCATATTTATACCATTTTTACATTTAAATTAATATGAAACTTAAAATCTTCATATTACGTATATATGTATAAAATTTATATTATTATTCATATATTTTAACTAAATATAAGTAATTTTAAAAATAGATTTAACATCAAATGCATTAATTTTATTAAATATTTATATAAAAAGTTTTGTTTGACAGCAAATCAATAGAAAGTAAAGCAAAGATTTATTACAATATAGAAACAAAAGTCTGTCAATCAGTTTTTGTATTTATCACAAATAAAAATCAATACTTAATATAAATGTATCGGTTATTTATAAATGCATTAAAATATATACAATATTATAAAAATATATGCAAAGAAAATGAGGAAATTTGTTACACAAAGCATTGTATGCCTAAAAGCATTACATAAAATGAGATACATTTTCAAATGATATAAATATCTTACGCTATTTTTGCGATAAAATCTTAAATTAAAACACTTGTACTGATTATCCTTTTTATGTGTTTCTAATTATAGTATATATTTTGATAATAAATTCTCAATAAATACATTTAACTCCAAATATAGATATTTTATATCATTAAGAGATTAATTAATTAACTAATTGAATGTCCAATAATAAAATTACATATAATCTCTATTTGCAAATCTATTACATGATTGGATTAATTGCAGACAATTATAAACACCAAGCGTTAGGAATTAGTTTACATAACGTTCTGTCAAATCGATAAAATAATGAATGAATATTCCCAATCACTTTATCTAACATTAATAAATTATTTCAAAAACTATTTTTAGATTAAACTTTATATTTAGCAACTTTTAGACATCGATTAGAAAACAGTGACAACTTTTCAACATTATGTATAATTTATATAAACCATAAAATTGGATTTATATTACATGAAAATTAGTTTAGATCAATAGCTTTTGGACATAAAACTATAAAAACATTTCCCCAATCAAATGGTTAAACACCTCTCTCTTTCTCTCTCTCTCTCTCTCTCTTCGACTGGAAGTACTTGTGTTGGAAACTATACAAGAAGTTGTCGGTCTTCTATATGGGCGCCGTCTCTCT